AGGGTTTGCAGGATTGGGGTGGGGGTTGGTGGGCCGCAGCGTGGGGGTAGGGAAGAGATCAGGGGGTTAAAAGCCCCTGGTTGGAGGAGCTCTCCTCCTTCTCCCCAATCTCCCAAAGCCCCCTGGCAGAGCCACCAACCCCACCATGATCCATCCACCCATCCCACCACCCCAACTTACTTCAGTCAGGCTCCTGGGACCTGTGCATACTGGTAAAATTGGCTCAGGGAGGGCCGCAGCGTGGGGGTAGGGAAGAGATCAGGGGGTTAAAAGCCCCTGGTTGGAGGAGCTCTCCTCCTTCTCCCCAATCTCCCAAAGCCCCCTGGCAGAGCCACCAACCCCACCATGATCCATCCACCCATCCCACCACCCCAACTTACTTCAGTCAGGCTCCTGGGACCTGTGCATACTGGTAAAATTGGCTCAGGGAGTGGTTTGTGGGATCAGGAGTGGTTCAGTGGCATTGTGGGGGGTGGTCTTGGAAGGGGTCCATGGGCTTTGGCAGAATTGCAGAGCCCCTCCAGACCCTGCTACTCTCCCAATCCTCCATCTCACCTGCCCCTCCTCCTATCCCTACTTACCTTAGCTCAGGCTCCTGGGCTCCCAGCATCTATCAGTGGACTATTTTTAACCCAATCTAACCCCCCTGAATTTCTGGCTGTAATGTCTGTATGCAGTAAGGAATGTCTGTAAGGAATAATGCTAAATACAGCACAGCATTCTTGTGTTACGGTGATTCCTTTTCAGAGTACCTGTGAAACTCAGTGAGAATGTAAAGTGTCCATATCACAGGTTTTTTTTAATGCACCAAGCCAGCATAGACCATAGATTCTCAGTACACAAGCAAACAGCTTGTATATGGGAATTTCTGGTTCCTGCCTGCTTTTGTGGAACAACTTGTCTGGTTTCCCTTAATTCTATGAAGCCACTGAAAACTTACCTTATGAGATCTCCTGATAGAAAAGTACCTCTGTCTTGCTTACAAAAACCTACTATGTTGTAAACTCTGGTCCTGCAGCTCTACTTAATAGCCTTCATATAACCACCATCCCTGACATGTCATGACACGCGCTCCAAAATCCCTCGGAGCAGAATATCATTTTGCAGACACATTTATATGCACACAACTGGAAGATTTTCTTTGTACATCAGTGCTGTTCTGAAGGCTGCTCCTTTAACATGAAGGGTATTTAAGATAAGATTGGTGGCACTGAATTACATGGTAAGATTTAGTATGATGATTCACAGACATGAAAAATGTAAAAAGAAAAGCAAGCTTGTGTGCACATAGGTGGAATCCTCAACCTTGTAGATTTAGAGACAGAAACAGGGCATAGTTGAATCGATCAGGTTCAGCTACATAAAAGCATTCCCTCTTCATTTGCTTCTTGCATCTAAACTAATGTTTCTGTTTCTAACAATAGCCCTTTGTTAACAAAGGGGGAAAAAACACCCAGCTGCATGTTAGCCAGAAAAACTGTGAATCCACTTTTCATTTACCACCAGAGTTCCTTCCAGCTTGGCTTACCAGCATCTGAAAAATTACTTTTCCTCTCTCTGAATGCATAATTGGTTATTTATATACAAACCATACAAGCATTTACTCAGTATACCTTCAACTAAAAAGATTACTCAAAAACTGTCCTAACAGATGTGAGTGTCAGTCAACATATGATCTCCATATAATTTATAAAGTATTAAATTACAAAATAATGAATCTTTTCAGTTAGCATTTTGGCACATGATGATAGTATTTCATTTTATGTGAGACTATCAACCACAGCTCTCGCCCCATAAAACTGCAAACAGAAATTTGTAAGCATTGGCACTCGTTTCACTTAGAAAAAGACAACCATTATGCTCACATTACAGTTAAGCTATGTATGTACAGCCTGGATGTTATCCAGTCACATACAGTTCTTTTCCCCCTCTCTTTTAACATTTCCTTAAGAAGGCTAGACAGTGGTTTCTAGGTTAAAAAAAATCTTGCAAATGTAACTAGTAGAAGGTCAGTTGAGTTAGTGCAAGGTCTTCCAGGATTGCTGGTAACAAGATACTCCTTTGTAGCTGGCTTTGGTACCCTGGGCCAAATTCTTCTCTCAAATTCTGAAGCAACTCTATTGCTTTCATTAATGGGAACAGATTTTGTACCAAGAAAATCCCATCCCCCACGTGTAACAGAAGAATCTCATCTTTATGCTGATGGCATGAAAGCAGAAAGGAGAAGCTTTCAAGCAGAGAGATTCACAAGCTGGAAATCAAAGCTTCCCATTAAGAATGAGCTGGCAACTAAACAGAAGTTTCTATTTTTTCTTTTGAAAAATTGAAATAATGATCCAAATGGCCCTTGCCTCTGAGTGTAATCACGTACCAGGATATTTTGCCTTACCCAGAGGGAAGAAGCTGGATTAGAAGTTTAGAAATGTCTTTCCTGTGGTTACCTAAGCTTTCTGCTACAACCTTTGCCCTACATGCTCCATCCCTAGCACCATCATCTTCCTCAGTTAAAGAAATTTGTAACATTTCAGGTGTACAACATCAAGTTAATGGGTGGAGCTGAGATCCCCATTACAAGAATGCATTGGACTTGTTAATGATTCGACAGACTCCACTCCCTGCTTGACAGAGCTTGGCTGTGAAAATAGGCGACAAGCTCCTACTTGCATCAAAGGCTGCAAACTTTTCTCCCTCCACACCACCACATTCTGAATTTTGATCTGAAGTGATGGAAACAGCTTCTTTGAAATGTATACATTTTATGGCAAGTGTTGAAACAGGTTGATTGCCTGAAGGAAGCAGGGATTTCAGAAATCCTTCTAAATGATTCACTGCAGGCGTAGATTGAAGGGGAGAAAAAAAATCTCTACTTGGCACCAGCCTAAATAGCTGTATTGAGTTACCAGTACCAAAATCATCCCTGAACACAAATATCCCAAGTATCTTGTTCTAGGGGGAAAGAAACAGTCTGGTTAAAATTGGATTCATGTCTTGTGCAGACCCGGGGGGAAAGTGGTTGAGCAAATGTCGCAGTTTTTTAAAATACCAGTTAATCCACTTATGTCATTGGACAGCTTTCAATGTATTTTTCTAAGTACCAATGAGTTCCCTAGGAACATGCTGCTCAGCCCTGTTCTGCCACCTGCATTAGATGATATTTATGGGTACAGCAATAGGATAACAAGGGGTGGATGAGAAGGGCACTAGCCCTGGGTGCCCACTGGGAGGTGGTGTATGAAAAGCAGCAGCTGCTGCTGCCAAATCGGCTACCACCACAGCTGCAGCTGCCCAGACCCTAGCACTGCTCCTGATGCCCAGAACACAGACCCTGGTAGTTACATCTCTGGGGTACAGACAGATGCAACAACTGTACTGCTATCAAAGGAAACCAATATAAGCTATTATGATCCAACTTTTATGTTTGTATGATTCGGTAGAAATACAAGCATGGTAACTCTAAGGCAGCTTTAACTGTTTTTCATCCAGGTTCAAAATTAGGGTAGTTCAGCTAGCCTGTATTGGTATAGGTTCATGTAGACAGTGGTTGGATTATAACAGTTTATACAAACTCCCAAGCAGCAGCTCCCCCTCCCCTATTAAAGTGGTTAAAAGGTACATTTGTCCATACTTTATTCTGATAAATGGTTTACCTCATCTCTCATTATTGCTACATTTCTCTTTTGTACAGAAATGCTGGTGGCTTTGTGGCCTGACACTTAATATGCAGCAGTAAATCTCTAAAACTAATATGAGACATGGGGTTCTAGTTAAGATGACTATACCTTGGAGCTAAGCACCAAAGACTGGGCTATTCTGTCATTTGGTCTACAAGAGGTAATCATACAAAATTTATCATACCTGTTCTGCATCAAGGGGTGACAGATGCTGTAATCAGGGTGTGTACAGAAACTGCTTTTTTGCCATTTAAAGCACTTTATTGCTGTGACTTAACAGAAGCGCATGGCTTCACAGAACTTTTTAAATGGGTACAGTGCTTTAAAATAACCCTTGTTAAATGAGGTATTCAATTTAAAGTGCTGTATTTTACCGCACTTTAGCAACCTACAGTACTTTAAATAACTTCTGTATGCTGGTCAAATTCCTGACCAGCAGAGAAGCCCCAGGAGACTATGGAGCATCCCCTGCTTCCTAGCCTGGGAAGTTCAGGGAGGCTCAGGGACACCCTCTCTTCCCCACCACCAAAAACTGCCCTTCTGTCATGATTAAGAGCATTGTAATTTTATAGTGCTATAAGAAGTGTTCTAAATTACAGCACTGTAAAGCCTGTGTGGAGCACTTCTGTACACACCCTTAAAATGTAATTGTTTTTATAGCCTTGATAGGCATGCTTCTGTTTCTTATTAATAAAGAGCAGTGCTAAATAAATGCTATTTTCAAAGTGTGTCTCTTTGTTTGCACTTAATAAACACAAAACAACTCCAGTCATTTTAAGACTGGACTGCCTGTCTTAGAAGGCTCATCACGAGAGCAATAGAAATTATATTGTTCAATTCAGTTCACTGTACGCTGATAAATACTGCTCATCTCTAAGGCTAGGGACAGACATTCAAAACACCTAAGCCTGAATTGATTCCATTTTTGCAGGTTAGTCTAGCCTAGGTTGGCTAAATCACTTTGTAACTGCACAAACATCCCAGACATGCAGGCACATGCCTGCAGTGACTCGGGCAAGAAGATAGGGGGTGGGGGGTGCTAAAGCAGCTCTTCCTTCCCTTCCACAGCACTGCACTGAGGGGAGGGCATGGCCAGGCCCTGGCAGGATGCTCTGATTAGCCCAGCAGGGAATTGATAACAGTGTTTATCACCCCCAACTCAGTGTTTATTGCCCCATTAAGAAAACAGAGGGACATTATGAGCTACCTGTCAGTTCTACCTGTTGACTCAGCATGGACAGTAGCCAGCATGTGGTCTGCTAGCTAATACACAGACACCTCTCAGGAAGGCAGAGGAGTTGGGGGGAATTCCTGCTTAGCAGGGAGGGGTGAGGGGGAGGGGGCGGAGCAGCCTGCAGTCTCTGCTGGAGCTCCAGCCAGGGAGCAGAGGGGAGGGGCCAGCCCTGCTGTGGAGCAAAGAGTCCCACTCAGCCCAGAGAGCATGCTGGGATGTGGGGGGAGTTTGGCTTGTCTTAAAACCAGCAAGGGGTCTGAGACAGATATTGCATAAACCAGTTTGACCCAAATCAGTTAAGTCTGATACTACATTCAACCATGTTTATCTCAAACCCATTTCAGCCATTTTCAAACTGGTTTATGTGCACTGAACATCTGTTCTGTTACAGGTTTAAACCAGTTTCTGATTACTTAAACCGGTATATGTGTAATGTCTATCCCTAACCTAATAGCTTTCAGTTAGAAGCAGATTTAAAACATTACCTAAAAGTGTGGGGGCTTAATTTAACATTGAGGTAATCAGTAACTTCAAAATGCTTCTGAATGTTAATTTGGTTACACCCAGCCTCTATTGCCTGTGCATCTTCCACCTAGGAAGGAATGCCTCAGAGTCTGATCCCACTGCTATTCAACTCCCACTGAAGTTAATAGGCCTCGGTCTGCATAGGAGCTGCAGGGGTGAACTCCTCAGTAGCATGCATTAGTTTCCAGCTAGTTAACAGACCTCACTTTACAAGGGATTTCTCCTTTTCCACGAAGAACTGCAACATGTGTAATAAATTAACTGCAAAACAAGAAAACACATTGCTTTACCTGACAGGGAAATTAATGCTGCTGATGTAGAAGCTTCTGCTTGTTTAAGAAGTAGCCAGGATGCTCTCACTTAGCAAAAGACCCTGCCTTGTAACCTACAGAAAAGAAATTGCTCATAAGTTCCTCTGCTACATCAGGGTCTATTATGCCTCTTGCCGATACGCATGCAAATTCTTAAGTAGGTATGAAAATATTATGGCTCGTCAGTCTTTTCTTTGACCAAACTGCCTGCCAGAGATATTGTCTGACAGGCCTTTTATTTGACCTGATTTTGTGCAAATAAGGACTAAACTATTTTCACTTGTAATTTCTTGGGGTACAAAAACGCCAGCCTTAACAAATTTGTAATGTGCTCTTTTCTGTCTACAGTTGGCATTTAATGCAGTGTTAAAATAAATTATAAGGTAGCTTAATCATGCAGCTCAAAAGAATACAGCATCTTTTAGGGGACTGTGCAAGTTGCTTCATTTTTTGCTCTTCCCCATTATTAGTAGTAACAAATAACCATTACTTGTAATTCACAGAAGAACTAATTAAGCTCCAACCCAATCTGTATCTACTTTTTCAACTTTAGATAACAGTATGCTTAAAAACTCCTGCATTTAGTATATCCAGAATATACGCTTGTAGTAAAATACGAAAAAGCTGAAAGCTTTTATTATACCTCTTTAAGCAAACGTACATATACGTGTGAAATTATTGAGCTAATATAGGGTGATGTATTTTTCAGAAGACAGGGGAAATTGATGGAGATCTCTAAAGTAAAAAGATAAAGATTTATATTTCCTGACTGCCGCATGTCTAGTGCTAGAGGGGGGAAATGCCAAATGCTGGTATCTTCCAATACAAGAATCAACTCAATACCTCCTTGGCTGGTACATGAATTCTCAACAAGGCATAGTCTCCGAAGAGAGATCTAGCTAGATTTAGATACACTGAAGAGTCTGTTGCGCCTAGTAGGGAAATCCCAGTGTTAGGTCTTATCTACCCATGTAGTTATCTTTGATTATCTGTTCCTGGATAACTGTTTTTGTTTAAGGCTAGGAATGTTTAAGGCTAGGAAGGCTAGGATAACTGTTTTTGTTTAAGGCTAGATGTTGCATTTGTCCTGGGATCAGCAGTGCCAGTTTCTGTCCCAGAACAGAAAAGTTGTGGGATTGGTATGTATGCAAACAGCCCTTACAATCAAGGCTGAGCAGCTGAATGCACTGCTTCTTTTCTGTCACTGATCCAATGATGCAATCCTAAAACAACCATTCAAATGCACTGTGTGATGCCCTAAGAGTTATTCTGTGAACCTTTTTAGAGTTTGTCCCAAGACAATGAACAAGGATGTATAAACAACTGCTTTTTGTCCCAGAAGAATATGGTTTCTCCCAGGACAAATGTGATGTCTCTTCATATCCTAACTCTATATGAGCCGGTTTCTTGTGGAATAAAATGGACTACACACAGAGTTAATCCATGGGTAACTCCATGGGTAGACAACCCCTTAGAAATGAGATTCAGATGTTGGATCTCCCCCATTCGTAATTGCCTGGTCACCCATTTCCTCCTGTATTGCTGGCAGTGCAGTAGCCTTCGTGAGAGGGGTGTCAGTCTTGAAGAGGGAATCCATCTTTATTTGGGGTTTTATGTTGAAAGACTTTTGGAAAGATTCTGATGTGAAGTAATAGATAAATGGGTCAAAGCAGCAGTTCAGTGTTGCAATGCACAATGTGATTGGGTACATTGTCTTAGCAAATCTCTCCAGGGAACAGTTTGCTATGGCTTGCGATCTCACCAGAGCATACAAGAAGAGTATGGAATTGTAAGGCACAAAGCATACTACAAAAATAGCCACATGCACGATGATCATCTTCAGTACTTTCTCTTTGTTTGTCCCAATCTGAGATAATGTAGCTGGTTTCCGAAGAGTCCTCAGAACCAATGAAGAGCATGTAAGGTTGAGTAGTAAAGGAATGATGAATCCTACCACTTCAATAAATATAGTGATCTTAGACAAATAGGTCTTCCAGATACGTTTGGAAAAACCCTCAAAGCAGGTTGTGCTAGTGTTGGAGATGTTGGTTGTAGAGAACAAAGAAGCTGAAATCCCACCACTGAGAACCAGTATCCAAACACCAGCACACACTATGGCTGAATTTCTTCTTGTCCTAATGGTACGAGATCTGAATGGGTAAACAATAGCTAGGAACCGATCAACACTGATGCAAGTGAGAAACAGCATGCTTCCATAGATGTTGGTGAGAAATGCCGTCCCTGAAATCTTGCACAAACTGTCTCCAAAAGGCCAATGCCTGTTAAAGTTGTAAAAAATTTTAAAAGGCAAAGTGAATACGAAGAGCAAGTCTGAAACGGCTAGGTTTGTCATAATGATAACGGTCTCACTTCTCATCTTCATTCTACAGCAGAAAACAAGTAGGGAGGCACAGTTTGTGATTAAGCCAAGGATGAACACCACACTGTAGACTGCTCCATACAGATTGTATTTAAAGGAATCATCTATCAAGCAGGTATGATTATTGCTGTGGTTTCCCATTCCAAGTTTGTGATGTGCTTTGGGAGCCCTTCAAAGCTGAATTCAGTGACATCCATAAAATAAGTTAGTAAGCTCTTTCTTCCTTAGGAAACACATTCCAATGATGTCGCTTGAAATTGATGGCACGTATTTGTCGTTTGTCCCTTCCATCCTGAGGGGGAGAGAAAAGAAAACAAACAGTCAGATCTGCATGTAGTTGTACTATAAATACATGGGAAATGCATAATCTTGACTTGAAAAGTTACAAAACATGTTTTTAGAATTATGGATGTTTAGGAATTTTTAATGCATTTCAAGTCATTAGATACTACATAAGTAATAGTCTAGGTACCTTTTATTTCAATAATGTAATGACATACATTATTCACACTGCTATAAGAAATGTATTTTCTTGTATAATAATTTCAAATTTCTTGATTCACCTGGAAATACACCCAGAAGGGAACTTCCAAAGTCACAAAGGACAGTTAGGCATTTATCCAGGGATAAATCATTTTTATCCCAGGACAAAGTGCCATCACATAGACCTCCATGCTTGTTATCCCAGAGTAAATGCTAAAAATGTTTCCTGAATAAGAGGCAGTAACAGTTTATCCTAGGATATTGCAAAGTCTGTTTGTACAGTTATTTTGGGACTTTATTATTGAATAAATGGCAGAAAAGTGGCAGTGCATTCAGCTGCTTAGTACACCCTAATAAGGGCAATGTATGTACATGCCAATCCTGAGATATTTTTGTTCTGGGACAAACACAGGCACAGCTTATCCGGGGACAAATACATTATCTGTTCCTAGTCTTAGACACCCATCTTCTCATTGAAGATCAGTGTCAGCAGGCTAACTCCATCTCTGACCCCTAGAAAATCTTCCCTTAAACTCTTAAGCTGGCAATAAGGTTTGGGAAGAAATAATGCCCTAGGGCGTACATAGCTGAAATGAGGGCCCTAAATTGAAGTGGTGGTTTTTAAAAAAACACCACTTTAATTTAGGGCTGATTAAACCCCCGTGTCATGCATACACCCTGGGTTTGCTCTGAAGTTTATATTTCTATGTCACTGCAAATTGATGTTGACAGAGGCTCTCAATGGGAAACTCATGAGGTGCTAAAACTAAGCTGGGCCTGTGTCATCAATACAATTAGGAGCTAAAAGATTGCACTGTATTCAGTTTTCAAGGGGTTGCACACCATGGGCATGTCCAGACATAAAGGCATGCGTGGTCTGTGGCACCGCAAATCACACACGTTGCACGTTAAACCGTGTGGGGCTGCTAATTTGCAGTGGGGGCGGAAGGGGGGAGGGGGAGCAGGGGAAACTGGATACTAGGATTTTCTGGTAGCAAAAGAACCCCCAGAAAAATAAGTGGTGCAAAGCACTTGATAATAGCTGGCGCCAGGACAAATGCAGAGATGGGGGAGCAGGCAGCCCAGGGGGCTGGCTGGGGCACAGTGCGCCTCAGCACGGGGCTAACTGGCAGGCTGAAGATGCCCCTCACTGAGGGATACAGAGACAGGAAGCACCAGCCTAGAGCTGCCTACTCCTCTGTCTCGAGACATGCTGCACCCCAGCCAGCACCCACTGGGGCTCAGCATGCCTCAGCACAGGGGCTCTGCAGCATGTGGAGATGAGGGAGCAGACAGCCCAGGGCTTCCTGCTCCCCTGTCTCCATGTGCCACCCTGCTGACTTACCTGCCTCTCTGGTGAGGGAGCGGAGTGCGAGCTGCCAGGTGGCAAAGCGGTCCCTGGGCTGCGGGGGGCCTGGTGCTTCCCTCCGCAGCAACGGTGGCCCTCCTCAGACGGCACCTGCCTGCAGGCACTCGACTCGGGCGGTCCCAGGGGGCACTGCAGCCGTGGAGGGAAGCACCAGGCTCCCACGCAACTCAGGCAGGCAGGTAGGCTCGGGGGAGGGGGCAGAGATCAGGCTTGCTGCTTTTCTTGGGCAGAGCCTGCTTTCCCAAGCTGCTGCCAGGTTGCCTGCAGGGCTTCCTGCAGAGCCCCTGAGCTGCACGGAGCCTGGTGCTTCGCTCCACAGCTATAGAGGCAGCAAACTGAAACTCCTCGAATGAGTTTTAGTTTGCTGTGCCCCAAGTCATTTAAGGCACATTACACTGCTGAATTTTCTGCAGCACCTGGAATTAATGTGCAATATATGGCTGAGGCATGCAAACACCAACATTAAAGTGGTGCAAAAGCATTTAGCCCGCTTTAAAGGGTCATGCACACATGCCTCTTGTTTTGTCTACACATGGCACTAGGCACAAAACATCATGCACATCTACAACCAAACAGCATTCTGAAATGTTCATCTGGAGCCGTGCAGAGAACAGAAATCTATACTGTAAAGTATTCTGATGCTCTGACATTTTGGTTTGAACCAATGAAGCTAGAAAGCCTCAAATTATCTATAAAAGAAAGAATTCAAAAACAGCACACAAAATGTTTCATTTTGATAACGTACTTTGATTTTGCCTCTTTTTAATTTTATAATAGAAACATTCTATACAAAATTGTTTCAAAATGAAAAAGTCACAGATTTTGATTCTGCAAAGATTAAAATAAAGGTATTTCACCATTGTCACACCTTGTTGGTCTTTTCTGAAAATATTTCTGCAAAAAACAATAAGATTTTGCAAGGCATTTAGGATTTGACAGTGCTTTTTTCTCCAAAGGAAAATAGTTCCATCTAAGTTGTCTTTGACTAATTTCAGAAACAGGAATGTTGGCAATAGAACAAAGTCTCTTCTCCTGTGACCTCTAGCCCAATGAAGCAAGGTCTAGAGATACAAACAGTTCATATAATACCAAAAAAAGTTAAATGTCCATCTGAAAAGAAGAACTTAGGGCTTCACTCATCCTTGTTCTATCCCAAGTTCACTGATAAGACTTTTGCAAAAAAAATAAAAATAAAAAACACAAACCAAAAAACCCCCAAACAGTTTTCTAAATTCCTAAACAATTTTAAGTTCGCTTTTTTTTCTTTTTTTTTTTAATTTTACCATGGGCAGGGTCATACCTCAGAGGAATTGAAAAGGGCAAGGTCAGACAACTAGAGGAGAAATTTCTGCGTTACAATTTACCATAAAGTAAATGGGGATCAGAAAAGCTTGGTTCCTGTTATAATTTGTAATCTAATAACTGACCTAGTAACTAAAATGATAAGGGGGGGGTGGGTTTGATAGATGAAACCACTCATCAGGAGTTGGAGCCACACCACGCAGAGACCCTGTGGCAGTAGGGGATAAATAGCAAATGTGAGGTGTGACTGGCTTAAAGTCTATGAAATAAATGAAAGAATGTGTTGTATGCAGGCTGTAAACAACCAAATGAAATCTGAATATTGAATCAAGAGAACCGATTACATACTGTCTTATAAAATCAAGTATTTGCCACAATGTATGCCTGCTTAAAAAGTTTACATTCTCAATGTTTTTGAGTGTACGTTATCCATAGGTCAACTGGCATAATGTGAACTGCTCAAGACACTACTACATTTTTTGTAGGAACAACTTTGCCTGGTGATGACAGACAAATTCTAGACCAGTCTGAGTGCCCAGAAACCCATATGCTTACTACACACGCTGCAAAAGCAGCATTGTGTGCTAGTCTTCTCATCAGAGGCCTTCCCTTCCCCTTTATAGATTATCCCTGCTACAGAACACAGTGCTGTGTAGGGAAATGCCTGGAACATAGTGCTGACTCAGAAGGCGTTTATCCAAAACAGATGGACCATGGCCCCAACTGCAAATCCTTACCCTGGAACTGCCCTTCATGCATTTCCTGTCACAAAGGGCTGAAGCAACAACTTCTCTATAGATCTTAAAGGAGTTAGCACTTTGGCAGAAAAAAATAGCAGTAAGCTACCCCCTTTGCTCATTGCCTGTCCAGCTAGCTGTATATGTGCCGCACTTTCAGAACCTGGCCTATAATTTCCTGGGAGGCTTTTGGTACATAAAGAGACATCAGAACATTCATGTTTTATTTCTTTATGTTTGAGCTCTGTATTTGTAGCAAGATTCTGGGTTAACACACATGCAGATCTGAAGCAGACATGCCATTATCTGATTGCTTTTGGTAGTGTGACATGACAAACAAGATCAAAGCCTGCATTCAAATTTTTGTGCAGCATAAACAAACAGAAACTTTGTTTTGTGAACCAACTATCTGTCGTATAGAAAGAGCAAAATGTTCTTTGGGCGCTCTCAGCTTTGCAGTGCATGCATTTCTCTTGCACGACTTCAATGTCTGCCTTGTTAACTTCATGCCAAATTGAAAGTCATTGCCAAACAAATGGAAACAAACAAACATTTCATAGATACTGAATGCACGACCTCATTTTAGAAGGGATGATGATAAATTATTGGGAAATGCACTTTCTTTACATATGAAGTATTTTAAAATAATCATAAACTAATCAACAAGGTTAGCTACTATGTATGCATTTGTGCAGGAGTAATACTTTCCCTTCCTGCTACTACATCTACACAGATGTTATGCTTTTCCTTTTTTTAAGGCAATAACATGCAATCAGAGTTATAGACATGCCACTCCCAACAGAGGTAGCCTGCCTCATCCTTAAACCTCAGCCTAATAGATTTATGCTTGGCTTCTAACTGTCCTGGAATATATGAAGAGACTCCATTTTATCTCTTATCAGAAGCAATCTTATAACAGTTACAGTAAAGTTTAACTTCCACAAGTAAACTTTCCTTTTTTATTCCTTATTTAGACCCAAGTTTCTAAGTGGCCTCAGTCTATACTCCCTATTCATGCCTCTGAATTTTGAGGAGGCATAATATTGGGGATCCATTTTCTACGCACCCAAAATTTAGGTTTGTGTGTGCACAACAAATGTGGAGAGAGCTCCCCAATTTATGTGCATGGTCTTAGATTTTTTGATGCACCAGACTATGTACTTTGAGCCATATGCTTGCAATCTTAGGCTAGGGATGGAAGCTACACATAAACCTGTTTAAGTGATCAGAAACTGGTTTAAACCTGTAACAAAACAGAAGCTCAGTGCATATAAACCAATTTCAAAATGGCTGAAACTGGTTTAAGATAAACCTGGTTGAATGTAGTATCAGACTCAACTGATTTGGGTCAAACTGGTTTATGAAACTTCTGTCCCAGACCACCTCCTGGTTCAAGTTAAA